TTTCATTTTCTTTCTTATGAAAGGGTAACACGAGTGTCACTAATTCATTCATCCTTAGAAAAAAATTCATAATTAAAAGCCTAGTGTGTTTCTAATCTCCTCCCTCTAATTCTCCGGTGAAGATTAGCTCTTTTTTTATGGATTTTACATGCTTCCCCTTGTATGGTTGACATGGGGATTTGAGTGGGAGGGGATGGATCTGCAGGATACTCTTGTCTATTCTTATTTTGGGTCGCGCTAACTGCCACACGTGTGGCAGGAAGGGAGACACACCACACATCTTTAATGTAAACAGATTGCCACATCATCGCATGCATGCATGCAGGAATCTTTTTGGATTTTCAGTTTTTAAAATGTTTTATCTCTTAAACGAAAAATCCGATTGAAAATCCGTTTTCACCATTGAATCCCTCGCGATGAGATCTTCGAAACTAGATCTCATGTTGATATGTTTTGATGAATTTTTTTTTGGATTAAAAGTTGCCATGTCTATTGCATATGAATTGCCATGATGTTTACACTGAAGTTGCCATGATATGTTTCAGCTATTTTCTTCTACATTTAAAAGTAAAATTTGACATTTATAAAACAGGGAATTAAGAAACTAGACTTGTCATGAACCATAAACTAAAATTGCCATGATACATGCACGTAAAATTGCCATGGTTCATACAAAAAATAATTTTCATGGTCAAAGTGCTGGAGTTGCCATCATCAAAATACTAAAATTGCCATGATCTACAAACTAAAATTGTCACATGGCAACTTTAGTTTAAGCCCTATGGCACCTGCAGTGTAAACATCGTGGCAACTTTTGGCAAAAAAAAAAATTCGTCGAAACATATCAACATGGGGTCTAGTTTTGAAGATCTCGTCGAGACGGATTTAATGGTGAAAACGAATTTTTAGTTCGCTTTTTTATTTAGGAGATACAACATTTTTAAGCCGAAAACCAAAAAAAATTCGGCTGATGTCATCTATTCATACGTGGCAAAATGAGTGGTGATGGAGACGTGTGGGCGATGTGCAAACGCCCACACGTGTGGGCGTTAACATTTCCGCTTATTTTTGTTTGATGGTTACTAGCACATATGCCCGTGCGTTGCAACGGGAGAAAAATTAGTATACATTTAAAGTTTGTGAGAATTATATGTGCAAGCAAGACCATGTGTGCACCTGAAAAAGGGACATTTAGGTTCTCGGTTTCGCTGGGCGTGAAGTAATCAGTCCGCTACTTTTCCATTCATTGATCGAGGGCAACTAAGAATTTTGTGACGTTATCGTACGCCAAAAAAGGCCCATGAATTATTCAATCTACTTCTCCTTTCTATTGAGGAGATTTTAAGGTATGTATTTTCTGAATATTGCCGGAAACATGAACCTTTTTTAAATTCTGAACAGTTTTTTGTAAACTATGTACACTTTCAGAAAAACGTGATTTTATTTTTGAAACAAGAACAACTTTTAAAAAATTTAAACATTTTTTGAATACACCAACTTTTTTATAAAAAACATGAGAATTTGTGAACTATTTTTTAGAACGGGAACATGTGTTGGAAATTCATAACATTTTTTCAAAAATATGTATCTTTTAATACTATTTTCCATTGTGAAAATTTAACTAACACGAGAATATTTTTAGAATTGGGAGCATTTTTTAAATTGCCATTTTCTTAGAAATCTCAAACAATTTTGAAAAAGAATAAAAGTTTTTGGATAAATAGGAAACTTTTTTTATGTTCCGAATATTTTTGAAAATAGCAACAAAATTTCGGAATGATGAACATTTTCTATAATTTGATTATTTATAAAAATTCGGATTTTTTTTGATAATTTGCATTTATGAAATAAATTCTATAAAAAAATAAAATTGGAAGTTGAAAAAGAGATAGGGGAAGAAGAATAAAAATAAAAATAAAACACAAAAACGATGAAAATGGGCCAGCCCATTATTGGTTGTCCTCTACGAAGGTACGACTATTTGTCGCCCTGTGCGAAAAATAGAATTTGTGTGGAATTTACATGCTTCCCCTTGTATGGTTGACATGGGGATTTGAGTGGGAGGGGATGGATCTGCAGGATACTCTTGTCTATTCTTATTTTTGTTTGATGGTTATATAGTACCCCCCCTAAACTAATATAAAAGCGAGTTTACAGGGAGAGTACTCCATATTTCCTTCATTTCATATTTTAAGACGTTTTTTTTTTTGACGAGATGGAGGGAGTAACAAATTTGTTAAACATGCCAAGCAAGGGCCAGACGGAAGCAACTAGTATAGAATCTGCACTTGTGGTGCAAAAATAGAAAAACGCATTCTGGGCCATTGGATTGAAGATGAATGGCACAGAGGTACCTCCTGCCACTTAATGTACATTTTTACGAAACCCCCCCACTAATAGTCAGATATAAAACATGACTTTCACTGTAAACACCTCACCTTTCTCATATTCGTTCATTTTGTCCTGGGTATATAAGACTAATTTTCAAATCGTCACAGCGTTGATGCTTCGGCTTTATACTTGTCTAATGGATGGTTTCATGTATATATAAGTACAGTACTGGTTTCTACTATATGTCTATCAATCGTGCAAGAAAACTAAACAAGTTGGTTACCAAAGTGTGTCAATATGTATCACAAATATAAGTGAAGGTGAGAAAATTAAGTCAAGCTAGACCATTTCAGGCACATGTTAGACTGGACAATTCCAAGCACAAATATTGGAATTATTTGAGTACATGTCAAGCTAGACCATCAGTTGCACAAATATTCGAGTACACGTCAAACTAGACCCTTCCTGAGCACACATATTTGTCAATCTGGCGCATCCACAAGAGACATACATACATATGAAGTGATACATAAGTTGACATGATCATTTCTAGTGCATGACCAGTAAGAATGAGTGCGAAGGACTTAAGGATCACAACTGAACAAGCATTGCTTTAAAAAATTGTGTTCAGCTTTGCTATCCTGATGGTATATGACAGAATGTTCTTCTCTTGCCGCCAGTTATACTGTTTCTTGCTCTTGGAACTTCATATGCCTGGGAAAGATCACACAAAACAAATACTGTTTTTATTTGCTTAGAACCATGTGAGACAGTAACAACTAAGATTCTCTAGAAGCTGCAAATAATTCTTCAAAATGACCCAAGAGCAACTGCAGGGGCAGTTAGTACTAGTCAACGAGCTCTAAACTACTCATCATACCCGGAGCATAACATGTGTTCTACACCAAAATCCAGATGTCTGACTTCTCAATCTCCTGAAACAAAACAAATTCAGAAGTCATCTCCAATTGCATGGTTGCAAATTAGAAGGCTACAGGCTGCACCACGCATGCTGGTGCAGCTCAGGCAGCTAGCTAGCTAGCTCTCTCTGCTCTGCATCTGTACTTCTACTGTTTCTGTAATGTTGTTAAACCCTTGTTGGCTAACTGTTAGTCACAAATACACATATATCTATTATTTGATGTCTCCAATCGAGGTATCTCCCACCAGCTAGCTACTGGAGTGTGAAACAATTGACCGGCGTCAGCTCATCAAAAGCCTTGAGTTTTGTTAGTTAAATCTGCAATATGCATACCCCCATGCCAGCAAGCACACTATCTCAGAACAACAACAAATTCTTAACTAGCTAGCTAACCAAACATGGCGCAGGTTAATTAGATGGACGAGACATTATTGTGTCGGCTTGATTTTGCCGGATATGCATATGTTGTCCCACCATTGACGAGTTTCCCCACAACATGTCACTTGTGCTCCATAATCAAGGGAAATTATATTCACTTTTCAATCACCGGTTGAAAGCAATTCAACTAGAAGCTAGCTAAATTTAGCTAATAATTTCACCGATGTACGCGTAAGATCCGCAATTGAAGGATTGCCAAATTGATAACTCTGTGCACTCTCGGCATACTTCCCCTAGCTAGATCCATAATCAATTCAGTCAAAGACATGTGCACTGCCTCTGAAATATTCATGCTTTGATTCAATACTCACTCCGATCCAAAATAAACCACGACACTTATTTTTGGATCGGGGGGAGTAGCATATACATGGCACAATAGATTAAATGGAACTATGTTGTGTAGTACAAGCAGTAAACTATTCTGTGCATTCAAAATTGTTACATGTGATGGGTAAACATAGAACATGAGGTAAACCCGCGCTTACGTTGGCTGGGCATGTGCCCAGACTCGATAACAAACTAGACTTTCCCATTAGATAGAAATATATGGGTGAGAGAGAAGATACCTTGATACTGAGCCAGTGAGGGGATGGAGTCAGGAAGAAGAGCTGGCGCGTGTAGCCGTCTGGGCTGCGTATTCTCTAACAACTCTGTGCCGCGGGTCTTCGGATCTGTCGCGAACCCATCGGAGTCCGGCATGGTGGAGGCCAGACGGTGACCTAGGCAGTTGTGCGCGAGGCGGCCGCGGCCATCGACGAGGACGACTAGCGACGGCCGACGAATCCCTGCGATGATGCGCCGCGCGACGTTGGGCCTGGCCGGGAGGCGGATCCACGCGACCTTGAAGCCGGAGCGGAAGACAGGAGGTAGGGAGAAGAAGCTGTGGAGGGGAGCCAACACCGGATCTGGCCAGGACCGCCGACAGCGTCGCTCGCCGGCTGGAGAGGTCGAGAGGGCCGATGGAGGATTAGGGATCTGAGAAGGATCCGAAGAGAAAACATGAGGACCAGAGGGATGTTTTTGCATAGAATTATGTAACCGTGAGTACAGATTCCTCCACCTAGAGCCTTACCATTCATCCCAAATCCAATGGTCCAGAATCCTTTTTCTATTTTTGCATCAGATGCCCAGATTCTATACTAGTCGTTCTCGGGCCAGACAGAACAGGGGGTTCAGAGGTCTCCCGTCAGTCGAGGGCACACACACTCTGCAAGTGCCACCCCGAACCAAATCTCCTCCGCTGCAACCGCAGGCAGCGACAGCGCCGGCGACTGAGGAGAGGAGGGGCCGCTGACAGCGGGATCGAGCGATGACAGGTGAGCCCCGCGCCTGCCGCGCCTAATGGTCCCCCACATGACTCCCACCTGACTGGAGGAACTCCCTGTCCTTGCAGCTATCCGGCGGCAGGCGGCGGCGAAGCGGGGCGGAGGTGGCGCGGCCGGAAAGAGCGCATGGCTGGCGGCGGACGGGAGCAAGAGGTGGGGGGAGAAGTTCTTCCTGCTGTACACGCCCTTCTGGCTCACGCTCTGCCTCGGCGTCGTCGTCCCCTTCAAGCTCTACGAGGTACTAGCACTAGCCGCCCTCACCTGCTGGTCGATCTATCTCATCCTGGGAGCATTTTGGTGGATCCTAAAACGAAGATGGGATCCTAAGGGAAATATTCGTTCCTTGGTGATTTGTTTTGTAGCGATTGGATTACTTTTTTCTTCCTCTTATATAAGCATTCTTGTATTTTTTTATTGTGATGATGTGCAGAGTTTCACGGAGCTGGAATATCTGGTTCTTGGATTGGTGTCAACCGTGCCTGCCTTTCTCATCCCTCTGTTCCTCGTAGGAAAGGTAATCTGGCACCCTCCTTCTAGGCTTCTACTCTCTCGTCAGATCAACTTCTGAAGATCTGTTCGATGTGACATTCAGCCTTCAGAGGGTAACCATGTCCCCATGACTACTCTTCGTAGCAAAAAAGGGCAGTATCTGCGCAGCAGTATTACTGTTTCACCAAATTCAGGTGTCCGCTGTTAAGTGAGAATGGAGAAACATTGTATGCATAAACATAGACATTAACATTTCATTGCAATTAAGATGACAACTAGAGTTGAGAAAACATTTTATGTTGAGAATCTACTAGCATTTTGGTGTTTTGGATCAGCTGGCAATTCATGTTTCCATCCATAGCAGCAGTTTCTCTGGCCTCCACAAAGGAATCCATTAGTGCTGCAGTACATGAAAAATAATAAGGAGAGTAAGGTCAGGTACGCAAATATTAAATGCTGAGCGAACACATGACAAAAACTATAAAAGTAGGGAAAGAAATGGAAGAGCAGGGATGGGAGGAGAGGGTTGTCTTGGCAAGTCAGCTTCTCCATAAGGATGGGCTCCTCTCACTTGCAGCTCTCTTATTTGAGCTTCAGTTTTGCATTGCATCTTTTCCCTTTTGATCTGTCTTCCTATTTTCGGTCCTAAACTATATCTTCTTAATTTGGTCCATAAAGGATGGAATTTTGAGCTTATTATGCTACTCTTGTACTGGTGTGTACACCAATCATATATTTGGAAGTTAACTTGATTTTTTTTTTCCAATTCAGGCAGATAGTATTAGAAGTTTAAAAGATCGTTACTGGGTCAAGGTATGTATTTTCAGTGTGGATCTTTTGTAAGCCAATTTGTTCCAGAAATGAACACTGTCCTGGAAAGTCCCATAGTTGTATGTAATGTGATTCTCTTATATGGATCTAGCTCAGGATTATATTTTTCACTACAATTATACGTTACTCAGATTTAACTTTCACCCACAGAAATTAAAAAGTGGTCGTATAACAGTTGATGTATCAAACGTTTACCATATTTTTGTGAAGTGACACTCATGAAAGCTTTTGTACGCACATGAAAGCTTTTGTAATATAAACTCAGCAAGCTACCCTGTATGAACAAACACTAGTGATATATATTCTTCAGTTACAACAGTACTTACTTTGTTGCTAAACTACTAATACAGGTATAATGAGCAGTACTTCTCATTGTCTATGGACTTGGTTTTAGTATTTGGTAATGCATTTTCTCATATTATCTCTTCCAAACTGTTTGCTAAATCCACGATACATCTTTCAATTGCAGGCTAATGTTTGGATTATAATTTTCAGTTATGTCGGTAACTACTTTTGGACGCATTACTTTTTCACAGTTCTTGGCGCGTCATATACTTTTCCATCATGGAGGATGAATAATGTAAGATCTTGTTCACACAAGGGGTGGATGGGTGGAGAAATTTCACCGAGAGTGCTACTCTTTACAAATGTTTGCACGTCCTTTTTACTTAGTAAATCTATAACATATTTTTGTGGAATACTACTATGAAGTCAATCAAATTATCTCATTTCATAGCTTTGTTCACTTCATATATCCCTTTTTATCAATTCTCTTCTGCAAATTAGGGGTTAATAGCAGGGTTGAAGTTCCTGCATATTAGTTGAGTACCATATGCTGATGGTATCATTCATCAATTCAGATTTTATATTAATTTTAATTTAAAACTTTGTTTGGTTGCTACATAGTTTCCATTACGTTATGTACATTATTGACACAAATCAGATGCATATCTGTTGCTCCCCTTCTGTTGTAACTCTGTTTGTAGTGCATCTGTGGGATCGTAACTAGTTATTCAAATGTGCTACACTAATTCTACTTATTTGTTTGCGATGCTTAATGATTTTTTTCCTCATGTTTCAGGTACCTCATACAACATTTCTCCTCACCCATGCCTGCTTCTTATTTTATCACATGGCATCAAATATGACACTTCGTAGATTACGTCACTCTACAGCTCACCTGCCACAGTCTATTCGGTGGTTGTTTGAAGCCGCGTGGATTTTAGCACTCTCATACTTCATTGCATACTTGGAGACCCTAGCCATTGCAAATGTATGTTCCAGCATATATTTCTTGATGCATAGGGTGCTATGAACATTATGATATTTTTCTCCCCAGTCTACTAATATTTAACTTTCATCTGTTTGCTAACAGCGGTAATCATCAATATTTTGTGCCTTAATTCTAGAGTACAAACTATTTTGATTGAATCCAATCTGTTATTACTTTTTGTGTGTGTATCTCATGCGGCTCAATTGCACAGAACCCATCTACTCTAACTATGTATCCTGCTGGACTAGGTAGATAACAGAGAACATGCAGACAATGCCTTTGAATCTCTAGTTGTGAGCAACTGTGTATAAGAACTTCTAGGCAATCCTTGATATCTCCTAATTTTAAGTACTAGGTTATGTCAAGTTTGTACGCATTGTCAATTAAAACATAAATCAGATAGCTTGTGCAATGCTTTCGACACATGTTTACTGTTCACTGTGCGGGCACTGTGAGCCTGGAATCAATTCTCTGATGCACCTGGAAGAATAAAATAGCAATCAGGTAAATATAGCCAAATAGTTTATACTTGCATACGAAATAGATGTCGTACGTAAATAAAGTTCAAACGGCGCCCAGTTATTACCACTCAACGTTTCAATGAAATTCCTGTTTCTTTTTTTGGTTGCTTGACATGGGGAAACCTTTAGTTCCTAATGTAGACTGTATCATCTATTCGACTAAGATTCATTTACCTTATGTCCCACGAATTAAATTCTGTAATGATTTTCTCCGTGGAGTGTTTACCTTTTTCGTGTAACCAGAGGTTTTCTATCTATCCTGTTTATTTCTCCATGCATCAGAATTTCCTAAGGTACTTGGGAAAATTAAATAAAGAAAAACATTCTACCCCCATGTTGCAACTATTTTGTGGCATCACATCACACTGTATTATGAAGTTGTGTTATAGACAACCACATTATGTCATTATTTGTGATGTACATACAGTTGATGTTGTTTTCACTTTTCAGTGATGCTATCCAGAAAGCTAAATGTTTCTTTGCTTATACGTACTAAAATCTTTCTGCTTCTGCGTCCTTTTTCTATTTGTGAATGAAGCCAAGATACTACATTCCTGATGCTAAAATTGACCTTGCAGTTCCCATATTACGAATTCGTCGATCGGGACATAATGTACAAAGTTGGATCATTGTTTTATGCAATATACTTCCTCGTCAGCTTTCCGATGTTCTCAAGGTAAAGCTTGTCTGAATTTAGTCTCCTTTTCTCCTCTTTCTGCTATGACTTTGTCCATCGAGCTCATTGTTAAACAGCAATATCTGGTCCTGAACTCGTTCAATGCTTGCCAAAACATTTAAGCTTTTCTCTAGCTGGCTATATTAAACATCGGTATATTGAATACCCAAAATAATATAGTTCTGAATTCCAGCAACTTACTTTCACTAACATCATCGCAGCTGGGTGCATAGGCTTCTCACTGTTCTCTCTTTACCTAGTTCTCAATCTCATAATCCATATTCAACTCTGTATTACTCTTATTTGGCATTCAGGATCGACGAAAAAGCAGAGAAGTGGGACCTTCCCAGGGTGGCCGTCGACGCTCTGGGCGCAGCCATGCTCGTCACGATAATACTCGATTTATGGCGCATATTTCTGGGGCCAATCGTACCCATCCCTGAATCAAGACGGTGCGGCCAGCCAGGGCTTGCATGGTTCCATGCGCAGAATGAAAGCGTCTAATCCAGGAACAACATGAATTCTTCTGCTCCCACATGTACCGTCGACCGGTGTCCTTCAAGACTGTTCACCTCTCCATTGGAGGGATGAAAATTGCTGATTAATGGATCGATCTGTTGTCTGTATGTAGTATTCGCTTTGTGCGTGCGAATAGCGAACTGGTAATCTGTAAGTTCAGCTTGATCTTAGAACCTGTTTTGAATAAGCTAGTGGCAATGGAGATTCGATGTCAACCAGAAAGTGATTCTTGACGCAGCACGGTCTGAGTGCGGCTCGACAGCAGCCTTCGGGATGCTTGGGGCATGCATGTCTTGATGTCTAATACTCGGGTCTCCTTTGGTTGACAGGAATTTTATAGGAATTCTAAAGGATAGGAATTTTATAGAAAAAAATAATCCTTTGAAGCCTTTTGGTTTGTAGGAATGAGTTTCTATTTCTACATGGGATATGAATCAATCCTTCACATTTCAAAGAAAAAAAAAACATTAGCCTAGACTGGAGTGAAAAAATTCCTAGCCTACGTGTGGCCGAGGGGCAACTCCCCGAGTTGTGGCCGGCGTCGGATGTGTTACCGTCCTAGATGCAGTCGCTGGACCCATGATCGTCCAGCAGCGGGCATGTTGTGCACACCATCGCGACTAAGGGGTCGTTCGGTAGTCCACCCGCTCCGCAGTATTTTAGAATCTGCAGAGTACCGTTTCTCTCGCTCCGTACTTTTTAACTACAACTCCCGTCGACTCCGGGAGCGGCCTCGTGGAGCGGAGGCCCTCCGAACAGGCCCTAAGGGTGTGCTCGGTTTCTCTCTGCTCCTCAACTCCATCCCGGAGTTGGTGGAGCAGCGCCGAATGCTCGAGCTCCATGGAGCTGAAAACGCGGAGTGGAGCTGGCTGCTATGTAGTTTTGTGGAGCGGCTATTTTTCAGATCTCAGATCTTCAACATCATGGAGTTGATAAAATTTATAAAGGAACCAAGTGGAAAATGGTTCAGTGGCCACACGACTCGCTCATTTCTGTTTCCTCCACCCGCCACGAGTGAATCAAGGAGCGGAGTTGTATGTCGAACAAGTTTTTTCAAGGGCTATTTTTACGAGGAGCAACATTTCGGGAGGAGGAGCCGCAGTCAAGGATTCAGAGGAGCCAGACCATTTCCGAACAGGCTGTAAGTGGGAAGTCGGGGCGGGGCTGGCGGATTAATGTTGTACCCGCGCAACGCCTCAGCCAAGAGGCCGGAGAGCTGGCTTCAGGTGCGAGTGTTGATGATGAAACCTCATACCAATCCGTTTGGGAGCCCGGAGCAAGGGCTATGGATTGCCTGAAGAAGTGGTGGGAAGTGAAGGCGGATGCCGCCGTAGTGGTTGATGCCGAACTCAAGGTTTCCCAAGAAGAGGGTTCAGATGGGGGAAACGGATCCTCTTACATCAGGAAGGGATGTCACGAAGCTACAGTGACAATCCAATGCAAAACTGCGAAGGGATGTCACGGGCACTGTAGCGACCGGTAGTGTATGCAGTTACTGTTCATAAAAAATAAATCTAAAAATGATTTTATTGCACCATAATTTTGTTTGTATGTAACTTTTGTAAATGTATACAATATATGTGTAATTTGTAAATTAATTCATGTCAGTTTAGCCTTAATCATATGGATGCGAAAAAAGGATGTCACGGTTACTGTAGCTTACGTGACATCCCTTCACAATGTTAGAGGATCTCGATGGGGGTGGGTGGTGGGTTGGTGTGCCGACTCGTCTCATCCACAACAAAGGTGAGGGAGTCAAAGATGACTTTGGCCTGGCATGAATATGCAGGCTGAAAGTTGATATCCAATCTGGGCAAGATCTCCGATCGACGCAACACGCGCGCGCCAACTGGTGGTACTGAAAACCGCCATTTAGTCCCGATCTAGTGGTGCGCAGGACTAGTAGTGCCAGAATGGATCACACACGGGGGGTTTACTCAAGTTTGGACCCTCATCATTGAGGTAACATCCCACTCCTGCTTTGATTTTTGATTGATGGTGAAAATGCCTCGTGTGAGGGGGTCACAATATGCGTAGAGATGTTGTTATCGAGACTACGAATGATATGACATGCCTCGAACTACCCTTGGTCTCGCCTTATAAAGGGCGGCGAGACCTAAGGTTACAAGTTTGCTAATTGACCTAAGGTCTAGATCGGACGGGGGGTTCTTGACTTGCACGTCAAGATGAGAACCTTCCAGAAGGAGGGCTTCCTATGGAACAAGGAACCCTAACCATACCTTGGCTTGTTGGGTCTTGAGGCCGGCCCACTGACCGGCTTCCCAGCTGACAGGCCACCCCTGGTATAATACACTATCGGTGTGCTTTGTCGTGTTGTTCTTCATTCATGGAGCCTTTTATTGTGTTGGCCTCTATTTTTTGAGGTGACGGTAGTATCTGGAAGACAACAATGTACCCTCCCTTCGGCAAAGAAGTAGCACGACATCCCTTCCCCCACACCCACGACATAAAAAACTAGTAGAGACTAGCACCACCTCTTTCACATGAGCATCGACAATAAAGACAACTCACCACAACCTCACAGCCAACATCATACTTGCAACTTACCACGACCCCAATAGCGCACATTATACCAGTCGTGCGAAGTGCGATGCACAAGTCCACACACACTACACATGCTTGCAATTGGGCCCAACAACCATATACAGTCGGACAATCCACTTACGGCCATACCCGAAGCGCCGCCCAACCTCAATGCACCACAAGACTCCCTCTCTAGGGAGCCTAATAGTTGTACTAATTGACTCGTCGATCAAGCAGGGAGAGATTGGGCTGGTATGCATGTGGGCCATATGTTTAGTTGGTTCCATATGCCATAGGCGTTTGATTGTCGTTGACGATAGGATTGGTAAATCTTATTTGGCGAGTGCAACTCATACATAACGCTCGCAGGCTCCCAAGCGATAGCTTGTAATGGGCAAACCTATTAGCCTCCACCCTGTTTTGTGTTTTTGGGGCTTCTTACCTATTTAAAAAAAAATATTGTTGCCCCTTTTTCAACTCTTTTTATGTTTCTTTTCATTTTTTTCGCTATAAAAATCATGCTTTTTTTTGAAAATGTTGTGATTTTTTAAATTCGAAAATACTTGTTCAATTCCGGAATATTTTTCAATTTCATGAACTTCTTTCAAATTAATTGTTTTCTAACTCTGCAAACTTTTTATAATCTATAAAAAGCAGAGGCGTTGTTTTTTGTTTCGTGAGCAATTTTATTTTTTGAGATTTTTTTCTTGAACTAGTAAGAGTAAATAGATGATGTAAAATACATCATCAAATTATAGTTAGAGTAAAATTTACATCACCAAAAAGTGGATTTTTACATCATCTCCAACTTCAACAGATGATGTAAAATTTACATCAATAGAAAATCACTCCAAAAGGTGATGTAAAATTTATATCACCGCGAAAGCGGCCATGGTGAGGTGCGCTGCAGCGACGTTAGTGGCCGCGGGGGTCTGAGTGATTATAGTCGTCGCTAGATGGTCTACAGATTTGAATGCATTTTTTGTTACTTCTCATGTTATTGGTACTGCCATGATGTTTGATGAATAGATCAGAAGTTTCTTTCTGAAAAAAAAGCTGCTGGTTTTTCCCTAAACAGTGCTGCTTTTTTTTATCTCAAAGAAAAGAAAAGAAAGAGTGATTAGAGCGAACGAGTGAGTGGCGACCGAGCCAGTCCCTAAGGGCATATACAATGGTTCTATCTTAGCAATGCCATATAGGATAAACGATTAGGTGAAGGAGAGAGAATTCATAAGAAAAGACCTGTCTTCTTTTATTTAAGAGAAGACAAGAGATGACCTCTTAACACAATATGTCTCACCACGTTTTTAGGAATAGCTAGTTATTGAAGATTGAAGATAAGACTAAAAGATGATCCATTGTAGACATGTTTTTTTTATCATCTCTTAATTACATGCAAGACTTAAAATAAGACTATCTTATCAACCATTGTACATGCCCTAATGGGCCGGCTCAGGTGTGCGCCTTAAACTCCCGATTGCCTCAAAAAGAAAAAGAAAAAACCAGTGAAAGGAGTCCTCTTCAGTGCGCACGCACGCAGGCAACCCAAACCCCTGACCCCGAGGATAGGATTTTGCTCGTCCCCCAAATCTCTCCGGCCATGGCCTCCTTCCCGCTGGCATCCGCCGCCCGTTCCCTCCCCACCCTAGGGTCTCACCTCCCGGCAGCCGCGACCACCCGCAGCGTCTCCATCCCGGCCTCCCCTGTCCCTGCGGCGAAGAACGCCACCTCCTGCAGCTTCAGCACCAGGAGCTGCAGGCCAACCGTTCGACGGAACGCCGCAGAGACCTACGTCCCAGGCTCCGGCAAGTACATCGCGCCGGACTACCTCGTGAAGAAGGTGTCGGCCAAGGAGCTGGAGGAGCTCGTCAGGGGGGAGAGGAAGGTGCCGCTCATCGTGGATTTCTACGCCACCTGGTGCGGGCCGTGCGTGCTCATGGCGCAGGACATCGAGATGCTCGCCGTCGAGTACGAGGACAGCGCCTTGTTTGTCAAGGTGGACACGGACGAGGAATATGAGTTCGCAAGGGATATGCAGGTAAGGGGACTGCCAACGCTGTATTTCTTCAGTCCGGATCAGGGCAAGGACGCCATTAGGACCGAGGGGCTAATTCCTATCGAAATGGTCAGAAACATCATCGAAAACGAGCTGTGAGTTCTGTCTAGGCAGCATAGTGTCTGTAGTAGCTACATTATTTAGCTGATTCTTGTAGTAGTTCTTAGTATTTATTTAGGTGCAGCCTGCGGTGGTTGATTTGAGCTTTGTGTTGCTGCTCGGCCGCAGGTTCGCGTATGCAAGATCTGCATGAGCAGAATGTAGCATCATTGTTCGAACCTGAGACTAACAGATTGGTTCTCTATTGCACCATTCTTGTGTGCTTTGTCATTGAAATCTTTGTTAGTTTGTTAATTTGTATGCACTGGATTTTGTCTTTTATCTT